TAACCCTACTATAATCTGGAATAGATTCTTCATATTTTTCTAGATTTACATAAGCTTCTCCCCTACTTATCAATGCATTTACATTATTAGGTTCAAATTCTAAAGCTTTACTTAAATCTGCAATAGAATTCTTCATATATACCTACTTTTTGATAAAATTTTCCTCGAAATATTAATGCATCTATATTACCTTTATTGTTTCTATTAATTTCTAATAGTTTATTCAAAACAGTAAAAAACCCTTCTTCAGCTTTTAATATATCTGCATTTTTTTGTTTTAAGTTTTGTGATTGTAAATTCAAAGGTTGATTTTGATTTTTGTGTATTTGATCCATTGCGTGACCTGAATTAGTAGAAATATCAATATTATGCTTGTGAATTAAATGATATTTCAATGAAGGTGAACCATTATATGAAAATTCCATTTCACATTTAAGACATTTTGTTTTACAATTTTTATCATTGGATGAACCATATGGTATGGTAAAATACTCCCAAACCTTACTTTTCTTATTTGCAAGAGAATTTGTACCAGATTGTAATAAACTATTTTCGTTTTCAGAAAGGAAAGGTGGTTGTTGACTTGGCATTTGTTGTGATTGTCTTTTCACTTGGCTTAAATTAGTGGAGATGTCAATTTTATGTCTATGAACTAAATGGTATTTTAATGAAGAAGTTGAACCATGATATGAAAATTCATTTTCACATTCATGACATTTTGTTTTACGACTTTTGGGTGAACCAAATGGCTTAGTAAAATAATCCCAAACTTTACTTTTTACATGTGCATTAGAAGATGTACTGGATTCAATTTGGATTTCTTGTTCATGAATAATGGGGGTTGTAGTTGCTATATCTTGTTCATTAATAAGAGACATTGTAGTTCCAGTTGTTATTGGAGAGATCAAATAATTAATACTGTTTTCGTTAGGCATGCTAAATTTTTTTATAAATATGACTGCTGTCAATTTATTTATTTTTTTGATTTATTTGATTGATCGTAAAAATCAAATATAAAAAACGACAGCTATCGATTTTATTTATTTTTGATTTTTTTGATTAATCGATTAATCGAATTACATAATCATTTTTTTGGTTTATGTAAACAAATAATAAATATTAAAAAAATGTGACGCATGTGGCAACGGTTCATACCGAAAAAAATTGAACATAAAAATGAGATTATACCCTTCTAAGTTTTGTAATTGTTAATTCAAAAGTTGATTTTGATTTTCATGGATTTGATCCATTACGTGACTTGAATTAGTTGACATATCAATATTATGTCTGTGAATTAAATGGTATTTCAATGAAGGTGAACCATTATATGAAAATTCCATTTCACATTTAGCGCATTTTGTTTTGCGACTTTTGGGTGGACCATATGGCTTAGTAAATAATCCCAAACGATACTTTTTGTATGTGCATTAGAAGATGGTCTGGATTCTTGTTCATGAATACTGGAGGATGTAGTTTGAGTAGCTCATAAATAAGGGATGCAGTTCATATTATGCCTTGTTTATGGTGAAGAGATGTTCCAGAATCAAAAAAATATTAGGATTGAAAAGAGTAGTCCATTGAGTCTATCGGAGGGATCAAATAATTAACATTGCTTTCGTCAGCCATGATAAATTTTTTATAAATACGATGGCTATTGATAATCGTAAAGATCGAATATCATTATGAGAACATAAACAATTATTGATTAAAACAAAGTACATTTCCAATGTGCATATGCGAGGGGATTGTTTCAGTACTTGATTTAGAAATATATATAGATATTTAAATCTCAATTGAATTAACTACTCTATAAATTAAAAAGTTACATTTTATATATTCTTTTCTCCTTATCAATAACATTCCAATGTCTATTTTCTATATATTCAAAATTTGTGCATAAAAATTAACCATTTTGAATAACATACATAAAATGTACAACATTCATATAGAAAATATATCTATCATTTATATCATTATTTGTTAATTGATCATATATATTAAATGTATATATTACCTATTACTCCTGGAACTATAGAAGTAAGAAAGGAGGTATTAAAAATTTTTTAAATATACCTCGCGTAGCCATGAACCCGGGATCACAAATATGTAAAAAGGCAAGTAATATTCAAATATTAATAATTTTTTTTTAAAAAAAATTTTAGATCCATACACAAATCCCAAGATCACAGATCCAAAAGAAGGTAAATAATTTTTAAAGATTCATCCATCACAGATCTAATCCCAAGAAGGTAGAAGATATTTAACATAGCAATGCCAAGAAATAATATTTAAAAAAAAAATAATTTAGATCAATCCGCAAATCACAATATCTCAAAGAGTTAAGTAATATTCAATGATCCCAAAAATTACAGAACCAAAAAATAAATACATAAATAAAATAAGTCTTCAAGAATGTAACGCCCCAACTTCAAAGTTTTAAAAAAATCAAATAAATAGATATATATACGTTAAATGTAGACACATATAAATAAAGAATTTAGAATCGACTTTAGCGATGCATAAATATTTAAGAATAAAAAAGCAAAAAGTTGTAAAGGATAAAATGAAATATATCTAATATTTATCTATCTTCTATGCTTCGGGAGGTCAGGTGCTTATACGTAAAGAATAACCTTTTATGGATAAAAGTTGTTTTTTTATCTGTAGTATAATGACGAATGCATTTTCCAATTAAAAATAGGAAGAGCAAACAAATTTTTGGTATCTTTAATAATATCCAAGACTCGAATGTATAATGGTTAAACTTTTAGAAAAAAAAATAAATTATTTATTTTTAAGAAAAATTATTTTATTATTGAGAAATAATCTATATTTTTAAAAGGGTAACTATTAATGATTACAAATAAATATTATAATAAATTTTCTGCGTTATAGCGCATGGGCTATTTTATTGGCTGAAATGCTTATTCTTTCTAATTCTATTATTTCTAATAATCTATTAGCGTCCGTATTTCCCTTTTCCTTCGTTTTATTTAACCAAAATATAGCTTTTACAATGTCCCTTTTAATCCCATACCCTCCATAAAAGCATTTTCCAATCATGCATTGACCATCATTATCATCACTTTCCGCAGCTTTTTTATACCATTCAAATGTTACGGTTTGATTTTCCATAACCACAATAACCTAAATTAAATTGAGCCAAATGATTTCCTTTTTTTCAACATTCAAATGCTTTTGTTTATTAACGTACACCCCTTTACCATCATAACAACAACCAATATTATAGATTGTATCAATGTTTCCAGCCCGAGCAGATTCTTGACTCCAACGAAATCCTTCTGATTCATTTGAAATAGTTCCTATCCCCATTTAAATAACAATACCCAACATTAATTTGGGCTTCCAAATTTCCTTTTTTAGCAGACCTCAAATATATTTCAATTACTTTTTTCTCGTTTTTTTTCAACCCCAAAACCTTTCTTATAACAAAATGTCACTTGATTTAAATCTATCAGTCAGAAATTTGAGACCAAATTTGAAAAACCTTTTCATGTCCTTTTTAACACCTCTACCATTTAAATACATCGTCACAAGATAAAAGCATCCGATTTCTTGATTAGACGATAACATATTAGAGATATTCTTATTGTCAATTATTTCATTGGCGGCTAAATTAAAGAATTTAAATGTCATTTTGTTATCAATAATTGTACCAATACCATACCAATAAAAAAATCCTATTAAACTAGTAAACCAATGATGAGATTTATGAATAATCATTTCATACAGAACTTCAACTGGATTCATGCCACATTCTTTAATAATGTAATTTTTGATTAGAATTGGTTGTATCTTGGACATGGATGACTGTTCTTTGAACAAATCAGTGATAAATTCTGTATAAACATATTAATTTCGATCTTTTAGTTCTTTATTTTGTCTAAACAAGAAACAGGAATAATTTATAGACAATGATTTTTTTTAGGGGATTTTTATAGACGTGCGAAAAATGACTTACATTTCCAATTTATAGACATTAAATTTATCTGTAACATGATTAAAGTGGGAAAAAAGAGGACTTTCAATTTCAACGCTTGTATCAGGAATAATGATTTTAGATAGATTTTTAATTACTTGAAAAAAATATTTGGCCTTGAATTTCCGTTGTGTTTCCAGCAATCTGTTAATATATAATATTAATAATTTATTGCTTAAACAATATGCAAAATGATTTTAATAAATTATTTAAATTTATACCAGTATATATTTCCTTGTATTTAGGAGGTTTTCCAGGTATGTTCATTTCTCTTTGTCCTTTTATAATGTTATTTAATAAATCCACATTGAATAATGATCTTATTCCAAATGGAGGATCGCCACTGGAAATTTCCCAGAGAATAATTCCCAAACTGAAAACCATCCGAACTCCTATTTTTACCAATTGAATTAAAGGGTTCCAAATATTGAGGATCTATACATTGAATTGGACCAAAAGTGTTTATAAGGAATCTTAAAGGTTTTGATATATCCTTCGATATTCCAAAGTAATTCAATTTAATTTTCTCATTATGAACAAGAATATTTTCAGAGTTCTAATTAAAAATTAATTATTAAATTAATTAAATATTAATTAAATTAATTAAATTAAATTATAAAATAATTGGATATAACCAAATAATTAATTAATTACCAATTTTCCATGAATAATATCATTGGAATGTAAATGAATCAAAGCATTTGAAATTTGTCTTGTCAAGGTTTAATTTTTCAATTTTTGAAAATTTAAATATTTACGAAAAGATCCATATTCAGAAAATTACTGGCTTTCTCTAAACCAATAAAAATAAATAAACGAATACACTTCCAATTTTTGATATCTTTTAACCTTATTTAGTTAAAATGGGTTAATTTAGTCAAAATAAGTTGACAAAAAAAAATATAATAAAAACTTTAATCTAATTTAGTTAAAATGAGTTAACAAAAAAAATTAGATAATAAAAATTTTTTAATCTAATTTAGTTAAAATGAGTTAACAAAAAAAAAAATAGATAATAGAATAAAAAAAAAGAATTCACTTCATTTATTAACTTATCCTGAGGGCAACAGTTTTTTTGAGAAATTTTAAAAGTGGCCATATAAACATTTTTACCAATTATTTCCACATTAAATTCGGAATATTGATATCATTTTTTCTTCAATAATCAAATTGTCTATTAAGTCTTCAAATCTCCTATGGCTTCATCATGATCAATAATTTTTTCTTGGGACATGTTTAAATTATTCATAAATTCAATTAAAAATTGCAAACAAACGAAGCGATGAGTGATGATTATATATAAAACGAAAGTCATTGGTATCTTTCATAAGTATATCAAAATTTGATTTATTAATGATATATTACATACATATTTATTTGTTAAAAAATCTTTTATATTTTCTAAATAATTTCACCTGCCATAAAATCCATTTCACACTTTCTCTCACATAGCAATAATTTCACTTTTTTTTCCATGATTTGTTTCTGAAACAAACTTTCACACTAAAAATAAAATTATTATTTACCAATTCCAAACTCTTTTCTTATAGGATAATATTTTTTGTGCCTTAATCGATTTCTTAGATGGGTTCATGTTATGTTTACTTATGCACGAAATATGCACGAAAATATGCACAGTTAAGAAAATGCATTGGAAATTAAAATTAAATGAAACGGTTTTTTTAGTAGCATCATTTATTAAATAAATACCGTATGTTTACATTGAAAATTCATGAAATATATATATTAATATTGAATTCATTCTTTTTTAGAATTATTTCGGTTCGGTTAAATTCTTTATCTATCATTTTCTCTCGCTTCGTTCTAATTTGATTACTAAAAGTTATTTTTGGGGGGAAATAATTAAAAAATATCCGTGTGATCATTATTTTGTGACCAATCGTAAATTTTAACTTTCTCAATTAAGAAAATTTCCAGATTAAACCAAATAATGACGAAATCTTTAAAGTAAACAAAGGTTAAAAATAGAAATCTAATACTAAGAATTATAAATCTTTTTTCGGTAAAACTTAAATCATACTCGTCTCATCACGTTTAAAATGAGGTGAGGCTTTGTCATACAATAAACAAAAGGTTTTTTTTGATGAAAGGAAAAAGTTGAATGAAGAAAATCGTGCATTTCTTTCTAAATATGCATATAAAGAAGATTTCCATTCCTATTGTTACAATATGAATTGATATAACCAATACTAACTGATATATGTTGTTTAACATGCGATGCCCCAAAAAAATATCGTACAATCGCAAAAATTAATGTCCGTCACTCCTATTAATGAACTCATGTAAAAAAGACCTTAATATTACTGCAAGCCCCGTGTACCTTAAATGTAAACATACACAAAAAAATCATGCCAAAAAAAAAAAAAAGGAATTCTTTTATGGAAACTCTTTGTTTAATTTGTCATACATCAGATGACTGATTCATCAACCGCAGTTTTTATGAGTCATCGTTTTACTTGCATTGATGATGACAATAAGTATTAGTAATATTGATAGTATTAGTAATTAAAAATCCAAATTATTATATAAAGGAGTCAAAAAAATACTTCTCAAAGTTTTATACGTTCCCACTGATTTTTTTTCAATTTTTTAAAAAAAGCGCTAATAATTCATAAAATCTCTCTGTCAAAGTTTTTTACTTCTAATAACAATAACAAATAATAAAAATGCAAATCTTCGTTAAAACTCTTACTGGCAAAACTATTACCTTGGAAGTTGAATCTTCCGACACCATTGACCAAGTAAAAACAAAGATTCAAGATAAGGAAGGAATCCCCCCAGATCAGCAACGTCTCATTTTCGCTGGTAAACAATTAGAGGATGGACGTACCTTATCTGACTATAACATCCAAAAAGAATCCACTCTCCATCTCGTTCTCAGACTTCGTGGTGGTATGCAAATTTTCGTCAAAACTCTTACCGGAAAAACCATCACCTTAGAAGTTGAGTCCTCAGATACTATTGACCAAGTAAAGACCAAGATTCAAGACAAAGAGGGTATCCCCCCAGACCAACAACGTCTCATTTTCGCCGGTAAACAATTAGAAGATGGAAGAACCTTGTCCGACTATAATATCCAAAAAGAATCCACCCTTCACCTCGTGCTCCGTCTACGTGGCGGTATGCAAATCTTCGTAAAAACTTTGACAGGAAAGACCATCACCTTGGAAGTTGAGTCTTCCGATACTATTGACCAAGTTAAGACAAAAATTCAAGACAAAGAAGGTATCCCTCCAGACCAGCAACGTCTTATTTTTGCCGGAAAACAGTTAGAGGATGGCCGTACCTTATCAGATTATAATATCCAAAAAGAATCCACTCTCCACCTTGTGCTTCGTCTTCGTGGTGGTATGCAAATCTTCGTAAAAACCTTAACAGGAAAGACCATAACTTTGGAAGTCGAGTCTTCCGATACAATTGACCAAGTTAAAACCAAAATTCAAGATAAGGAAGGTATCCCCCCAGATCAGCAACGTTTAATTTTTGCCGGTAAACAATTAGAGGATGGCCGAACCTTGTCAGATTACAATATACAAAAAGAATCCACTCTTCACCTTGTTCTCCGTCTTCGTGGTGGTATGCAGATCTTTGTAAAAACATTAACTGGTAAAACCATCACTTTGGAAGTCGAATCGTCTGATACTATTGATCAAGTAAAAACCAAAATTCAAGATAAAGAAGGTATCCCCCCAGATCAGCAACGTCTTATTTTCGCTGGTAAACAGTTAGAGGATGGCCGTACCTTGTCCGATTATAATATTCAAAAAGAATCCACTCTTCATCTCGTACTTCGACTTCGTGGTGGTAGTATGCAGATCTTCGTAAAAACTTTAACCGGTAAAACCATTACCTTAGAAGTTGAGTCTTCCGATACCATTGACCAAGTTAAGACTAAAATTCAAGATAAGGAGGGTATCCCCCCAGATCAGCAACGTCTTATCTTCGCCGGAAAACAATTAGAGGACGGACGCACTTTGTCCGACTATAACATTCAAAAAGAATCTACACTTCATCTCGTGCTCCGTCTTCGTGGCGGTCAATAATTGATTTAGTTAGCGTTTTTATATCATTCCCTCAGAGTCATTCCTTTTTTTTTACATTTTTTTTTAGATGTTAGGATGCTCGAGTTTAAATATATAAATAAATAATATATATAAAGATCAAATAGATCAAATAAAGTAACTTTGTAATTATTTAGCAATTTTATTTGTAAAATGAAATGTATCTCTACATTGCTTAATAAAATTTTCCACGTATAAACGTGAGTTGGTATACTTAAAATAATAATTATAATATTTTGTGTAAATGTATAATATAAAAAAGTCAATGAATATTTTAATTCAAATTCAATTGTCACCCAAAAAGAAGTTGTCTTGTTTGTCTTATCTAACACGATCATCATCACATTTTTTTTAGGTAGGTTTGAGTGACAGAATCGAAGGCGAGTAAAAATTTTTACCTAAGATTTAGATAATGTTCCCTTTTAATAATCAGAAAACAAAAAAACAAGAATTTGTAGATAAGGCACGGTCAGAACGTGAACAACGTGAAAAGCAACGTGTTAAGCAAAAGCAGGAAGAGAAAAAGTTAAAAGCTGTAGTCGAAATACAATCTTTATGTCGAAAGTATAATCGGAGAAAGAAAAATGTTGAACAGTTGAGAAAATTATGGGATATTGACGCTGGGTTTTCTCTAGATCATGAAACTCGAACAATTTCAAAGTCTTCTTCAATAGAAATTCTTCGTCTTACGTTATTACTTTTTGCTTTCTTCAACTCTGATCAAATAATAGATAAAGTTAGATTTACACACCTTTGCAAAATGATATTATCAACAACAACAACAACTTCTACTACTGATCAAAATATTCAACATGTAGTAACTGCACCGTTTCATTTATTATTACTCAGCGAAACTTATGTGGATATTGCTCAAAAGTTCATAAAAAAGATTCTTTATCAGTGTGTCATCAATGTAGTTGGGTATTCTTATGATGATAATAATAATAATAGTAATAATAATAATAATAATAGTAATAACAATAATAATAATAATAATAATAATAATAATAAAAAGAATAATAATGTAAATATTTCCACTATTACCACTATTTCCCCTAATTTATATTTATCTGGACCAGAATTAAGACTTTTAATTTATTTTCTTGATCCCAAAAATTATATTATAAAAGGAACTTCTCTTAATTCCAATGTTATAAGTATATCAAATCCTCCAACCATCTCTACTTTATGGAATCAACATTTATTAATTTTACATAATTATTTAATAATAGAAAAAGGATTTTATAAAGAAATTCGTAATGGAATGATTAATCGAGTGAATTTAATATTATCCATTAAATCAAGAGAGAAAAAAGTGAAATTATCTAACGAAGATGAAAAAAAGTTGAAATCAACACAATTATGGTTAAAAGCATGCCTTCGATGTTGTTTGTTTCCATTAAATTTACAATTTAATGATGGAGATAATAATAAACAATCAATTCCTTTAAATCATAATTTAAATGAATTTTTAATTTTCGTTTTATCAACTCCATGTTTAATATCATGTTTTGATGAGATTTGTATGGAGATGATTAAACAAAATAATATTCCATCAAGAATAATTGAAAATTTATGTTCACATGAATTTTCAACAAATTTTATAAATATAATGTCAGGAAATGATATAATATTTTTAATGGGAAATATTACAGAATTGGTGGCAAAATTGAATATATTATTTAAAAAAAAGAATTTATCAAACAATACTAATAATATTAATAATATTAATAATGAAAAGTCAGATAAGAAAGAAAAAATAGATAAGAAAGAAAAGATCGATAATGAAATTAAGAAAGATAAGAAAGACACGAAGAAAGATAAGGATATTAATGTTTCACCTGACTCATCATCAATAAAATTTCACGATTTCATTCGAGCTATTATAACGTTAATTCAAAATTGTCAGAAATTTGTATCTACGAAACAATCAAAAATTCATTATCAATATCATCCAATTTTTATGTGGTATTCGGGAAAGATTGATAAAGATTTTCCAAGAGAACATTTTACCAGATTAATTAATCAACTTGAATATCTTTGGCAAAGACCTTTTTTACTTAATGCATTTGATCAAATTTTGAATTTTAAGTTATCTCCTCAAAATGATGATGATAATAATTCTCATCATCATTCTTCTTCTTCGAATTCTTCGAATTCTTCGAAATCCTTTACACAAAAAAAATCGGATTTTTTGGATAATAAGAAATCAAGATTGATTTCTAGTCAAACAACTCTCTTGGCGGTTGATACTCAATTATTATGTAAATTTTATTTGATACTTTCAAAACTTTTGGGATCTCAGAAGCATGATATTATGATGAATTTGACTTATTTATCACGTTTTGTTCCTAGTCTATGGAATTTCATGATGTGTTTGGGTCCTAAAGGTAGAATGAAAATTTTTTTGGCGGATCCAGTGGTAAAAGATCCGGAGAAAGAACCATTGATTGAGATATTGGATTTATTCTGTGAATCTTGTGGCATATTATTATTGTTAGTATTATATAGATTGTATATATATCTCTCTCATATATCTCATATATCTCAAATATCTTTAACTAATTCGAATTTTTTTTCTTTACATAATAGAACCTTGGATGATGATGAATTATATGAGCAACAAACACCATTTACAATCGAGAATGATATAATTCCCATGGTCAATTTCTTTAATAAATTTTGTTTCGCAATTCTCAGTCATTCTTCACTCGATAAACCTCTTCCGGCAATTTTTGAATCCGCTCGAAGGGTTCTTTTACAATTACATTCTCGTGATAATCGTCGTTCATTTACTGGACCGGATAATAATAATAATAATAATAATAATATTTGGTTACTTATCAAGGATCCCAAGAAATCATTACCCATATCTTTTACAAACTTTTTAAAAAAATCAACTTCAAAAGATAGTAAATTAGGAACTTCATTCTTAGAACGAGTTCGTAATAATGATACTATTTCTATTAGAATATTAAATTTATTACCTCATACAATTCCTTTTGAAACAAGACTTGAAATATTTAGGGAATATTTAACTAATAGTGTTATACCTAATGGTAATGAGTTGGGAACGGTAATTACCGTCAGAAGAAATCATGTTTTAGATGATGCGTTTAAACATTTAGGAGGATTAACTGCAATTCGTACGAAGGGTAAAATTCGAGTTAAATTTGTTAATGAAGCAGGTAATTACTAAATTTTTCATTATACAACATATAAATAAATGAATATATATATATAATATATAGTTATTTAACTCTAAACATTCTTTATTACTAGGTTCGGATGAAGCTGGTCTAGATCAAGGTGGTCCCTTTAAAGAATTTATTACGCAATTAATTGAAGAAGGTATTTTCATATAAAATATTTTATAAAGTATTTTATAAAAAATGATTTTTTTTTTTTTATGACAATATATTCTCGATCGATCAAATAAAAGATAAAATTTTTTTTTAAAAACTTTATTTAGCCTTCGATCCAGAATTTGGTCTATTTTCTTTTACCCCGGATAATTGTCTATATCCTAATCCTTATGTTCAATCTACCAAATTAGCACTTTATTCATTTCTGGGAAGAATGATCGCTAGAGCGCTTCAAGAAGGACTTTTGGTATCATCTAATTAATCAATTCCTGCTATTTGATTTCTTTCTCATCTTTTTTTAAATTTAATATATTAAATATTTATTAATAAAAAAAAAATAAATAAATTTTTTTTTTTATTAGTTAGATGTTCAATTTGCAGGATTCTTTTTGAGTAAATTATCAGGAAGAGCGGTATTTTTAGAAGATCTTGTTGGATTGAATAATGAATTATTGAAGAATTTAATGTTTTTGAAAAGATATCCAGGTACGATCATATTATTTTTGGGGGACTCATCTAGTTTTTGGCCTTCGTTTTAAAGAATGATAAAAATAAACATTTTATTTATTATTTATTTATAGGAGATGTTGAAGAGTTGGGATTATATTTTGTTGTAGATGAAGAAATAAATGGAAAAATTGTTTCCAATGAACTTAGACTGGTGATTAATAATTTTGTTTTGATCTTTTTTATTTTTGTATCATGATTTTTTTTAAATATTTTTTTATATTTTTCATATTTTTTATATTTTTTTATATTTTTTTATATTTTTTATATTTTTTTATATTTTTTTATATTTTTTTATATTTTTTATATTTTTTTATATTTTTTATATTTTTTTATATTTTTTATATTTTTTTATATTTTTTATATATTTTTAGGGTGGATCTCATGCGATGGTGACTAATGAAAATAGAATTCAGGTTTGTTTCAAATAAATGTCATATTTAAATAAAAATTACCGACATAATCATTTTAATAATTTTTAATATTTATATCTTTTAGTATATTTATTTGATGGCGGATTATAAATTGAATAGATTAAATAAGGAACAAACGAAAGCATTTATAGATGGGTTTGTATTATTATATGTTTAATTATATTTTAATATTTAATATTATTGCTTTATTAATTCCTAGTTATTTTTATTTTATTTTTTTTTGGTAGCTTTCAATCTATGATACCCGAGAATTGGTTAAGAATGTTTTCTCCACCAGAATTGCAACGGTTGTTTATCATTGTCTTTGTTAATTTTTTTTTTTTTTTTTTAAATTAAAATCTTCTGATCTATATCAATATTATTATTTAATTTATTATGAATTAGTGTAATTTCAGGGGAAGATGTTGATTGGGGTAAGCATGACTTTTGATTTCTTTCCTTTTTTTTTTTAATTTCTTAATACTTTATCTATATCTATAATAATTATTAAATTTTTGTAATAAATCTTTTATTACCAAAAAAAAAGACCCTGCGGATTTACGTAAACATACAGAATACCAAGATGGATATACAGATCAACATAAATGTATCAGAAACCTTTGGTCAATTTTAGAAGAATTTGATACCAATGATAAAAGAGCGTTTTTGAAATTTGTCACAAGCTGTTCAAAGGTAAATATCGTTTTTTTTTTTTAATTATAAATCCTTTATATATATATATATTATAAGTTCTGGTTAATTGTAAAAAATTAATAATTTTTGTGATTTTAAATGACAACATTCATTATTATTATTATTATTAACATTTGTTATTGTTTAGCCACCACTTGGAGGTTTCAAGTACGTTTGATTTATACATATATATATATATGTATATATATTGTTTGTGTTTTTCATTGGGTTGTGATCATAATAATTAATCAATTAGTTAATTAATTAATTAATTAATCAAATTCAATTATATTATAGGCATTTGTTACCAAAATTTACCATTAGAATGGTATCAACTGAAAATGAACCAGAAAATTCTAGACATGTCATTAGACCAGTTAAAGCTTTCTTTAATATTGGTAAGAATGCAACAAAGGGAAGATTACCAACAACTTCTACATGGTAAGTAAAGCAATTATTTATTTGATTTTATAACATAATTAATTATTTATTGATGATTTTTTTCTTTCTAAATATTCCTAAATATTCTAAATATTTAGTTTTAATCTATTAAAACTTCCAGGTAATTTTTTAATTTAATTATATTTTTTTAAATTTCTACAATTTTTCATTTAGCAATTTATTATTTAAACATTTATTAAATTTATTATTTATAATATTTATTAAATTTATTATTTTATATTTTATTATAGCCTATCCTTCTAAATCTATTACGAAAGAAAAGTTAAAATATGGTAAGATTTTATATATATTTATTTTTTTAAAAATTTTTTGTACAATGATTTATTCATTTTTTTTCATATTTCCAAATTTGCAGCAATTCATTCAAATTCTGGATTTGAACTTACATAAAAAAATATATATATTTATAATATAAATTATATATATATATAAAACAAAATTGTAATATTATAGTGTACAATATTGATATTATAGTTAAGATACTTTAATATTTTACTTTCACATACAATATATAATTTAGATTTTTGATGTTAAATTATTTATTTATTTTATAATAATAATAATAATAATAATAATAATAATAATAATAAAATAATGATAATAAATTAAGATTCAGATTTTATTGACAAAAAAATACTACAATAACGTTGATGTCCGTCGTTTTTTTAAAGAAATCCATCCCCTATAGTTATAATAAATCTAATTTTGAAACACTTCACGTGATACTTCATTAATAGTTAAACCCATACTTGAGTCGCCTCGAAGACGTAACCTCCGAGATTATTTGTGGGTGCATCTGAATCACCTTAAAAATGCTTTGTCAAAAAATCGCGCGTTAAATTTATAACGTCGATCACCTTCGCGATCGAAACACGTCAGATTTATTATTTCAGAAATGAATCTCCTCAACGAGATCCGACTTATTTTGTATGTTACCAATGTGGTACTAGTTGTGTTAATGAACGAAAGAAAGAGCAACATATGTAACATTCCCTTCTCATATGGTTAATATTAATTAGGTTCTGAATCCAACACGCGCATAATGTAACATTCCCTTCTCATATGGTTAATATTAATTAGGTTCTGAATCCAACACGCGCATATTCCAATTACATACGCGACCTACTGGAATGTTTCTTCGGAGATCCAAGTTTTCTTCGTGAATTCTGTTTAATGCAATGAACAAATTCTTTTTCAAGCTCGAGAAGTCATGATTTATATTGAAGTCCTTGTTTTTATGATACTTGACAATCGTCTTATAGAGGAACGAATGAGAAAGGAAAGTCAAAACTAGGTCTGGTTTAGTCTCATTGAGTAGGACAGTGTTTACTTTATGAACGGTGGCTGAAGTGACTTTGACAAAAGGAAAAGTATATTTGTCACTCTCCTCTGTTCTGAAACCTTGGAGATTTAGTAGCATTTCAATTGGTGTGACTGAACTTCTATCAATGCTGTGACCACGTTCGTTACTTAATTTAACACACTTCGGCACTGGTGAACGAGGAACACCTTCAAATATCGAGGGATATTTTTTAAACCAAACGGGCATTACTTCGCTAAGTTCTTCTCGGAAAAAAACAGAGCAAAGGACCAACACTAGCTTTGGAGAAATGACGTAAAAGTAATGGTAGGCATACTGAAGTTGAAAATTGGGGAAGGGTATATCCAAGACTTCATTCATTCCTTCGAAAATTCCAAACCCGTAATAAACTCATCATTTTCACTGGCTTGCCAAATTACGAGAAAACGTCCATCATACGATTCACGTAATCATTCCTATCCGGCTTAAGGATTTGCAGGTTGTCTTTGATATCTTTATGTTTAGTATCTAGTATTTCACGGATATTCTGTAACCATACTTCTCGAGTACTTTGTAATTTGCATTCCAGCATGAATTTTTCCACAATTGGCAAGGTTCTTTTATCAAAATTTCCATTGATAAATTGAGACCATCGATGAGGTTTTCAATAATCCATAATGAAGAGTGACTTAATATAGATCATTGAGGTTTGCACTAAACAAAACAACCTGACTTTCTTTTTGAGATGCCCTCACAATATCATGGATTACTTTTGATGCTTGCATTTCTAGTGTTGCCAATTTATTTTCTACTGGCATCATATCTTCATGATCAAAATCTTTGTACATGTTTGTATATCCATAGGTTTTCCCGATCAAAGAGGTGCCCAATTGACCGAGCGTTCTATCATAAGTTTGAAGAAGTGCTTCTGACTTATTCTTATTCTTAAAGTTCCGTTTATGTTCTTTCTTTTTGAATAACTTTTCATTGCTCACAACCATTCTTTCATAAGTATTAATAGCAAAATTACGAAGGAATCTTGGAATGTAGTGATGATATTGATCCTTTTGCATTGTTGCATTAGAGTGCTTTGCGTAGTTTGCGTAGCATAAATATTAATTTCGAGGTAGTTTTACACAAGAAAAATCGATATTCGAAGGTGTGACACTTTGTGATAAATAACCCTAACCCTAATACAGAATGAATTTGCAGATGTAAGGATATACTAATGCAGTGTTTCAATGTAAAAACTCAAAAAGTAACACATATGACATAATCATATGCGTTATTGAGACACGTGTCAACATATTAGGACTTTCATTTCCAAGACTTTTGTTTGTATTTTCGTTCATAGATTTATTTCCTAATTGAGGTTATGTAGTTCAAAGTATTTAAAGTGATTAAATATGAATTATACGAATTCGAATTTCTCTCCATTTCTCCACTCACTTTAATAATGGAACATCTTTGATACTAAATTGGATTTTTCTGGTACCTCGTTAATGGACCTCATAAATAGTCTTAAAATTGAAGAGACAGAAGGAGAAGGAGAAGGGGAAGAAAATCAAGAATCATTTAAAGAATTGTTTGTCGGGAACATACCTCCTACAGCGAGTGCAAGTGATGTTAAAACCGTTCTTGAAAAGTATGGAGATATAGTAATTTTTCGATGTGAAATTAAACCCGATAAATTCTTTGGTTTTATTGAATTGAAAAAATCCGAAGACGCTGATAAACTTCTTAGAAGGGCAAATTTTTCACCACCAGAATGTTTAGGCAGAAAATTGAGAATATCCAAGTCACATAATAAAAAAAAAATCAGAAACCAAAAGAAAAAGATCAAATCCGAAAATGATCCCAAATTTAAAATTTTATCAATGGAACTTGGGAATTGGGCAGGTCAAGATCAAAAAATAAACAGTTCAAAAAAGAATGATAAAAGGAACAAAAAATCTAAAAAGGAAACAAAAAATTGGACATTCATTTCTGATTGGAAATATCCAAAATATTTTGAACCTCCTAAATTAATAATATCAAAACCCACGAATTCCTTTTACATAGAAGGGTTCTCGAAAAAGAGTGAGAATGATTCACCACCCGAAATTAATTTAAGAAGAGTAAAAATTCCTTTCCGAAGTTTATCCGAAAATAAAAAGGGAGTTCTTTTAAACTACAAAGAAAAAAAAGATCAAGAAGTTTTATATATTTCTATAAAATATCCCCCTGAACTATATCAAATGACAAGTCAACCTGTGTTTGAATTATTTCAAACTAGATTTATTGCTGAAATTATTGGGGAAGTTGAATGGCTTCGAACTATAGATTGGACTGGCATTGCAAATGCATTTGGAAAATGTCTAGTTATTCGAATAGTGATTAAAGAAAATCATCATCGAGAACTTTTACAGTGTCTAAAAAGGTCGAATATACCGGGCCTTCCAAGACATATTCCTGAGGGAAAAATTTATTGTAATGAAGCTCCCGATCTTTCTTTCACATATTTGGACGAAAGCTTTCGTGTATTACCTTTCCGATTATGTTTCAAATTAGAATGCTTACTTTCGCATTCCATTTTGTCACCTCACGAAATACAAAAATATAGCCTTGGAGAAAGGTTAACCGAGTTATATTTCGAACAAAAGGAGACGATTGCATGGTATGCTTTAAATCAAATTGCTGTTAAACATTGGGATCCGTCAGACGAGTACTATAGTCAACGTCCAATTAGTATATTCGAAATTGCGGTGAACACTTTTCGTGGGGAATTTACTGAATGGCATCCGAGCAATCCTAATTTATCAAAGAATAATAATGAGAGATGTGCGTGGGTGAATCATGCAACTATTACTCCTACCAAAATTTATTTTGAAGGACCAACCTATGAACCATCAAATCGAATATTAAGAAAATATTCAAAACATATTGATAGATTTATTCGTGTCACTTTTAAAGATGAAAATTTTGATCGACTCTTTGTGAACAATAAAGCTGACGAAATTTACAAATTACGAATAGAATTAATAATGAAATCAGGTTTCTATGTGGCCGGAAGGCAATTTGAATTTTTGGCATTTTCTTCTTCACAATTACGTGAAAGTTCATGCTGGTTTGTATCAGCAATAAGAGAAGGAGATGATGATTATGATGAAAATGATGAAGAATTTAATGCCGACGCTATACGAAGAGGGATGGGAGAACTGAGGTGAAAAATTATACATTAATTAATTATAATAACATTTTTATATTCTTTTATTAATGTTTGATATATTATTAGTTCGATTCAAGCACCTGCTTTATATGCGGCGCGTATGGGTCAATGTTTTACTAGTACAATCGGAACTATTGAACTTGAACATGATCAAGTCATAGAAATAGAAGATATAAAAAGAAATGGTTACACTTTTAGGTTATTATTTGTGAATTAATATTAGTCTTTGGAATTTATAATTTTATATAAAATAAATTTACAGATCCATATTAATTGTATTATGTATAGTGATGGTTGTGGTACAATTTCACCAGATTTAGCAAAACGAGTAACCAAACTTTATTGGGGAAATCAACAAAAAAAAGATAAAGAAGTTCCTTCAGTTTTTCAAATCAGATTTGGAGGGAGCAAGGTAAATAATTTTTTTTTTTTTTTGTTGCTGTTGAAATAAAATTTTGAATAATAATAATATGATAATAACGGTAATTTTTAATATGTGTAATTCAGGGTGTAGTTTCCGTTGATTCCACCTTAAGAGGAGAAATGTTGTGCTTAAGGAAAAGTCAAATAAAATTTCCAGCCCCGGTTTCCCGAAATTTGGAAATATGTAAAGTGGTGAAAAATCCTCTTCCCGCTCATTTGAATCGACAAATAATTATGATATTGAGTGCTCTTGGTATTCCTGATGACGTATTTTTAAGTTTACAAGACAGAATGCGAGACGATATAGACAAAATGATGAAAAATCCTGAAAAAGCGAAGGAAATTGTAAAAAGAAGTACGGGGTCCCGTGAATGTTCACATATAACCCGATGTATCCTGAGTATGATTGATGAGGTTTGATAATTTTTATAATCTTTTCTAAATATAAGCTTTGAACATTTTCATTTATATAATAAAATTATTATTATTAGGGTCTCATGAGAAGTGGGGAACCTTTTTTAAAAGGACTTTTAGAATGTAGAAGGATATTTGCTTTAAAAAGTTTAAGATATCGGGCACGAATTTTGGCACCAAATGGGTTTCTTCTTTACGGAATACTAGATGAGGTTGGAGTTCTTGAACCCGGTAATTTGTAATAAATAAATTATGTCATTACCTAAAAGTTAACATATATAATTTCTGTTTAAATTTTATATATATATATTTTTTTAAAGATCAAATTTTCGTTCAAACATCAACGATAAACACGGATATTCAAACTTTTACTAAAATGAATAAAAAAACAAAAAGAAATCATAAAATTTACACTGGGCGTGCGGGTAATTATTATTATTGTTGTTGTCGTTGTTGTTGTCATTTTAATAGGAAAATATAATTTTCAATTTAATAAACAATTATTTATTTTGATTTCTTGTAGTAATTACCAGGAATCCATGTTTACACCCTGGTGATATACGTTTTGTAACCGCTGTTGATGTCCCGGCATTAAGACATCTTCATAATTGCGTAATTTTTAGTCAGAAAGGAGATAGGCCATTACCTAATTATTTGGTTCTTATTAAATTTTCATTTACCTTTATTTATCAAATATTCATTTCAATTTGGTTGTTCAATGATTGATTAACCTTTTTTTTTTTTTAATTTACAGTCGGGAGGAGATTTGGGTGTGTAAACTTTATAACTAAATATATATTAAATATATTTTTCGTTATGATTTATTATTTCTGATCTAATTTAAATTTTCATTTAGATGGTGATGAATATTTCGTTTGCTTTGATGAAAGACTTATACCTTCCGTTAACGAAGAGCCCATGAACTATGATCCGCCAGAACGAAAAAAGTTAGATCGGCCTGTAGAGATATCTGATATTTATGAATTCTTTACAGATTTTATGAAAAATAATCGATTAGGGCAAATAGCTAATCTTCATATGGCACTTGCGGATTTCAACGTTGATGGAGTGCGTGATCAACAATGTATGAAATTAGCTGAACAAGTAAGTTTTACAATATCAAAGAATTCATTTATTATTAAATCTTCTACATAAATATATATATACATAAACATTATATAATTTCATAATATTTCAGCATTCCATGGCTGTTGATTTTAACAAGTCGGGAGTCCCAGTAACTGATCGATTACCAAAGGTGGAACAATATCCGGACTTTATGGAAAATAAACGGAAAGATTCATATAAATCTGAAAAAATTTTAGGTCAACTTTATCGGAGAATAGAGATTGATCGTCAACCCGAAGAAAACCTTTTACTTAATTACGATGGTGAAATAATTCCAAATCAAGAATTTTTATTTGATGGATATGAAGACTTTACTGAAGAGGCAGTCATAGTTAGGAATACATTCAATTTTGAGATTCGAAGTTTAATGAAGAAATTTTCGGTTAAATCTGAACCGGAAGTGATAACGGCGAACCTACTTGGTTATCGTCGTGTAGATGGACGACAAAATCGAGAAATTCGAGAAGCTATATCCGGATCTATATCGCATACAATACACCATTATCGTAAAAATTTTTTAGCTGAATTAAGAAATACTAATGACGAATCTGATAGGTCATTAGAAATAGAGGGTGAAACCTTTAGCTATCACGTGCATATACCAATAAATGACGAAACTAAAGCGAAAGCGTCAGCGTGGTATGCTGTTACGTATGATAACGAAAAATATCCCGATCATATTGATGATACTAGACTTTTAAGTTTTGCATGGGTTGTAGCCGACATTCTATTAGCAATTAGAATGGAAAAGCAATTAGAAATTGTCAAAGAGTTGGTAAAACAATTGACAATTGAGTAAATTATTATTATTGTTTTTTTTTTAACCATCGGGCCGGTACAAGTGTAAATCTGTGATAATTTTTTGTCACGTTGGGTGACGTATTGGGCAAAATTTGTCTCCCCGTTGATTGCATGTGAAATCACCTACCCATAAGTCTGTAATTATAAAATCATACATTTATTTAACAATTTGTAATTATGTACACCAATTATTAATTGATTTTGTAATATATTAAAGACGTGTTTTTTTCACGTCCTTCATACTTCATATAAATGTTTCCTTTCCATTTTCTTCTTCGAGTTGTTCTTTCCTTTTTTTGTAATGGTATCTCTGGAAGAAAATGTGTACAAAAATTCTAATGCCACGTTGAGATAATTATTTGAATCATTTATAATTCCATTGTGTACTTGATTTTTTTTAATGATTTTACAGATTTTACATGAAAAAATACATTGTACATGCTTCTAGGGTTGGATTTATTGATTTTATTAATTTACAGTTACGTAAGTTATCCAGATCACACCACGTGGGGGAATGTTTTGCATTATTATTATATCATTTCCGCAATATTTTTATTGGTTATGTAATAATAAAAGTACACTTTGTTATTTCTGCTATAATGCTATACACTAAAATTGTTATATTTAATATTAGCTGCGTATTACTATGTGATTTTTTTTGTTTTTTTCGAAGATTCTTCATATAGAAGATATATATGGTAGCATTCAAGTATAATAAATTATACTAGTTATACTTGAATGCTACCATATTATCTTCAATATGAAGAATCTTCGAACAAAACAAAAAAAAAAAAATCACAATTTATCCGTATCGTTAGGCCCTTAGTGTATAGCATTTTAACAGAAATAACAAAGTGTACTTTTATTACTTATAATGCAAAACATTCCCCCCACGTGGTGTGATCTGGATAACAAACCAACAAACGCATATTCAGGAGTTAAAGTTCTTTTTCTATTTACCACATCTGCAGTTTAACATTATTAACAAGGTTAGTAAAAATCTGCTTATTTCTTACTTAACTGTAAATTAATAAAATCAATAAATCCAACCCTGGAAAATCATTAAAAAAAAATGATCAAGTGTGCAATGGAATTATAAATGGGTTCAAAGAATTATCTCAACGTGGTGTGTGAAAAATATTATTGAATACAATATTGCATTAGAATTTTTGTACACATTTTCTTTGATTTTTTTGATAGCATTGGACATCCACAATTCATACTCACATAATACATATATATCATCAGTTGAGTGTTTAGATTTGGGTTTTTGTTTAAGCCTCTTGAACTCTTTAAAACTGATGTGAATATGAGCAGAATAGCTTGTGACCCAATGTTTCAGAATTCCACCATGATTATATCCTCCAGCTTTCTCTCCAATATATACACCGGCCTGCCAAAAGTATCCAGACAGCTGTTTTTTATCAAATTTTTTTAAAAATTTCAAGGGTGAATTCTGGCACAATG